AAAAAAAAAAAAAAAAAAAAGACAAAACAAGTTGCAAATCTAGAGAAGTGATTTAATAACACCATGACCTTGTATTCATCCGAGGAAATAACCGGGACATAAAGTATAAGATTAATTGTTTTTTCAGTTACTCGCATATTCCTGGTCACCAAAAACTAAATATTTTGTGTTCACCGCAGGGTGTATTTAGTAGGTTTCTGTTTCTTGCCACTTCACGGCTATCACTTCAGTAATTATCATGAACTTGTCTTGGTTCTTTAAGTCTTTGAAAGATATTGCCTAGTGCCCAGGCGTACTCGTGCTCCTAGTTCATGACGTCACTCCTGTATGACGTCATAGACCACACACGAAGCGAACACTTTGTATGTTTTTACTTCTTTAGTTTTCCCTGTTCAGTCTTCTAAATCCGAATGACGTAGGAATCGCTAGAAAGGGAAGCAAAAACATTGGTAGTGTGTAATTTAAACAGTTTTTCTTTTATGTGTATGGAAAACTACGGAACATTTAACAAGACAATCAAATGGATTCTAAACAAACTAGCGCCGGCTGTGCAAAGGACGGATAAAATGTTATCCACCAGACAAATCATTATCCACAAGATAGCGTAGAATGCTTTGTCAACACACATCGTCTGTATAGTCGTGGATAGCATTGTCTACCCTTTGAACACGTTGGTCCTGGGGCCTGCTGTGTTACAGGCGAGCCGGGCAACAAGCGTTAGCCACGGGTTAGCAACGCGCGTTAGCCACTCTTAGGAGCAAACAGAACCCGACAGTATAAGCAAGATCCCTGTAGGAGCCAGCCATCTATCTTTCGGTAAGGAGACTGACTGAACTTTGTCAGCGATTATATTAGCTTCATAAGCAAATCTCACTTTTGTCATAAATTACCTTGCTCACGTACAAAAGACTCCAATAAACGTGCTTGCTCCACAATTATTAAGAACTTCCCTTATTACGGTTTTACTGGTAGTTTCGATGAGGTTTGTTTCTTACATCGGATGCCGAGTTCGTTACTGTTTAGAGTTAGCACGGTAATATATTTCATATCTCACCTGTGAGTGATGTAACGGACCCAACGGAAGGGGCTGTAAGCTTTCTCGCGATCCTGCACGCGCAGATATCGGATTTGAAGACCGGAGCAGATATGCATCGGTATTTCGAACTCCAAACTGGAATAAAAAATATGTTAATAATAACATATGTGAACGAACAAAAGACAAATGCAGGTTCAAAATTGCAGCGGCTGGAAAATTATCAGCAAAGACTGGACAGTTTCAACAATTCAGATTGAATGTTCAGATTGAATGGACAGATTGAATGAACTAAATCATGATCGTTACACATACGAATTCTCATTACTCATCGCCATACATTTAATCTCCGTTCTGGGCATTTGGTAGAAAATAATATTCTCCTGTTGATGATTTTCGTTATTCTCAACAGCCGCTGAGTGCTTGAAAATGTATCGATAATGTAAGAGGAAGTTAGAAATTCATAACATTACCCACCTCACGGGGCCGACTTCTTTTCTTGCAGATTTTCGCTTTTCACTCATGTGGACCTGAAAACACGACATGAAACAACATTTAGGAAAAATTTAACCTAAATTTTAAGCAACGTTGAAATAATTAACTTCCGTGTCTTTTGTTTAAAAGAATCGAGGAAGGCAAGTCCAACTATTACAAAAAGAAAGAAAACATTATTTGCTGTCGGAGTCGGAAGAATCAGAACGTTTCAATTTCTTCCGATTCCGTTTAAGACTCCGTCGCTTATGATCCAGGGAAAAAGAGATTGTCGGAGTCGGAAGTAGAAACGGAAGAACCAGCCAATCACTAGGTCCGGAATCAAACATTGTGATTGGCTTATTCATCCGCTTTTGCTTCCGACTCCGATAATCCAGTTTTCATTAGATCGTAAGCGACAGAGTCATAAGTGAATCGGTGTTCTGCTTCCGACTCCGTCGGTTTGATTTTCACTGGATCGTACACGCTTCTGATTACGGCTCCGACGATGACTCCGTCGCTAGTGAAGACCAGCCTTATTAAGCACTTACTGTCAATGGTAAGTTCTGGTAAACTGCAACTGCTGCAAGCCAAGCTACACACTTTGTAGTGAAAGAAAAAAAATGTAAATATTGGTTTCCCCAAGCTTGCCACCGATTATATGAGTTTTCTGACAAGTTCCTTGGCTTGAAATTTAACCTCAGCATTTTTGCAATACACTTAGGCAGCCTCCACACTACGCCGGAAAAATTTGAAAAGACAAAACGCAGCTTTATTTCTACGGTCAGGCCTACCGTCCACACTAATCCGGCACGAAAACGCTCTTCAAACCGGAGAAATTTGAAAACGCAGTTTTATTTCTACGGTTAGGCCTACCGTCCACTCTAATCCGTCACGAAAACGGAGCTTTTAGAAAATGCTCTTCAAACCGGAGAAATTTGAAAACGCAGCTTTATTTCTACGGTTAGGCCTACCGTCCACTCTAATCCGACACGAACACGGAGCTTTTAGAAAATGCTCTTCAAACCGGAGGAATTTGAAAACGGCAGCTTTTCGTTTTCGTGTGGACGGAATACATTTTGAAAACGGAGCTTTTCGAAAACGATGGCGTCACGATAATCACGCGATTTCCCTGACCGAGTTTTATTCAAACACAAATCCAAAATGGCCGGTGACTGTTGCGTTTTCAAATTCCTCCGGCGTAGTGTGGACGAAAAACATTTGATGCCATTTTAGAGTGAAACCTCCGTTTTCAAATTCCTCCGGCGTTGTGTGGGTGCGGCTTTAGTTTTGTCCATGCAAGAGTTTTAACCTTAACGGACGCAGTTATCTCGGAGCCTCCTTGCAGCTTTTTAATGTTCCAGTACCAGGCTTTCTCGGATGACTTGAACTCTCCTGTTTGTGTCCCGGATGGTATGTTGTGCGAAACGCTGGTGATGAGAAGAAAAATGTTCGATCACCACTTAATTCTCTTTACTGTTTTTCCTAAATTTTCTACAATTCTGGCTCTAAATGTTCGATATGAAGTGAACAACATGGTTTGTGCATCAATCAGCTCTCATAGATGACAGACGCATAGATGACGTTCTTCAAAACACTCTACAGTCGAACATCTCTCTACAACAACAACAACAACAACAACAACCTATTTGCTACACAGAAACACAATAGTTAGAGATAGTTTGGTAGAACGAGAACGAGTGAAAGGCGAGAGTTTCAACAGTTTTTTCCAGCGCCCCCAAAATTTTAACAGCGTTTAGAGCTACAGTAGAACCCCGGTAACTCGAACTCGGATAACTCGAACTCCCCCGCTAACTGGAACCAAGTCCCATTTTCCTTGGATTTGACCCCACTTTTCAGTCATTTTAACTCGGTTAACTCGAATTCCCCGCTAACTCGAACTAAATTTCATTTCCCTTGATCAAAATTTACCCCGATAACTCGAATTCTGGTTCATGTAACTCCCCACGGACGTCATCCCGTTAGCTTTCGTTGTCGTGTAATTGGTAAAAACACTCAAAACTAACACCACAGCAATTTGATTTTAATTAGTGCAATTGCAACCGACCGTTCAGTGCTACAGCGTAGAACGTTATGAAAAGTACACATGCATTTCTGACGAGATAAGTTTAATTTGCACTGTACTGTATACTGAAGTGCTGAAAAATCAGTGAACTATCAATTACTAACTTGGCAAGTTGGATATTCAATCGACCCCGCTAACTTGAACTGTTTTTCGTTTCCCTTCAGAGTTCGAGTTGGCGGGGTTCTACTGTATTTAACAATTAGATTATGAGCTCGAGGTGATATGAGGTGTTAGAAGGTCGAAGGCCTGATCAACTATCACCTCAAAGAAATCGAGAGCGAATAATCTAACTGTTTTAGGGGAATTGTTACTTAAATTTTTCTTCAGCTAACCATTTCCAATTATTTCTGTACATTGCATTTAACTTAACACTTTACAAAAATCGCGCGGACCGAACTGTCATTTGGAATTTCCTGTTGTGTTCGCGCTTATCAGTTTTTTCAATATTTTCTGAAGCCTGGTTCACACTAGCGACATAACGACATAAGGAAAAGATCAGTTTCATCTTTATGTCGTTATGTTCATGCTGTTATGTTGCTAATATGTCATTATGTCTACATGTTCACACTACAAATATAACGTCACTTTTACGTCGAGATAGTGTCCTTTTTATGCCGTTCAAGACGATGTCATTAAGGTGGCTCCATAAGGTAATCATTTATGGCGTTGCGCGCGCAAGTGTTATGTTTTGAATGCTGTTTTTGCATTCGCTTTCACACCTAGTCATCTCAAACTTATTACATGTAATAAGCAAAGATTAAATAGCGTTTTGCTATCATCTCTGTTAAAATTTTGGGATTTAGTCTTAAATTATAAATGCCCAAACAAATGCGTTTTRTAATGTTTTTATGGCTTTATTTGTCATTTTCATGAATTTCCTTCGGTGAAATCTTCCAAAATTTTTACATCACATCGTTTCCAGCGGGATAGGAATTTTAAACCCGAAAAGAGTAGGGTTTGTAAAGACAGTTTTTTCGATATTTACAAATTTATGTCTTTTACCGCTACAAAAAATCTGGCCTTATAGATTTCCCTGAAAAACGAGCTCCGACTGAAGTAAAATATTTACTACCAATCTGCCAAATTTTACGGAATTTCACCGAAGGAAACGCGAGAAAATTCACTGACAGTTTTGCTTTTGTGCTCATGTTGACGTAATTAAAAATATCGAAAAGCACTGACGTTTACCTTTGAGCGCGCGCAGATTACTTCCTCAGCGCACGCGCGATCGTAAAACTATAGGGAGCCACCTTACGGGAGCTTAAGCAAACCACGACGACGACGGCAACGAGAATGTCACTAAACAAAAGGTTTAATGAGCAAAACAGTAGCTGTGCACGTGCGTTGTAAATCTTTGCACATTTCTTTGCCGTCCTCTGCAAAACAACAACGTAAAATGACCAAGTTCTACGTCGTCTACGGAACGTGGACGACGAACGCTAATTTTTCGTTCTTCCATGTGGAACTGAACGCCGTCGTTGCATATTTAGCTTAAGCAGGAACTGAACAGATCTAAACAATCGCGAATTTCGCTTGTAAAATATAAATACACTTTTTACTAGACGTCATCCTCGGCGTCGCCGTCGTTGTTGCTTAAGCTCCCTAATTATGTCGTTACGTCGCTAGTGTGAGCCACGCTTAACTCATAATGGCATTACCGCAAAAAAAAAAGATCAGCTTTTTCCTTATGTCGTTATGTTAATGTCGTTATGTTGCTATTATGTCATTATGTCAGGATGTTCACACTACGGCATAACTTCCTTCTTATGTCGCTATCTTTATGTCGTTATGTCGCTATGTCGTTTACGTCACTAGTATGAACTAGGCTCAGTTGTAATTGCGTTTTCAAAGGCCTAATTCACACTAGCGACATAAGGATAAGCATGACGACTTAAGAAGGTCGTTATGTCGTTATTTTGGCAGTGTGTACATCCTGACATGACGACATAACAGCAACATAGCGACATGAACTAACGACATAAGGAAAAAGCGGATCTTTTCCTTATGTCATTATGTCTGTGTCGTTATGACGTGTTTCTGTTAAAACAGGTGTGAACATCATCGACACAACAACATAAAAAAAAAAACAAAAAAACAAAAAACAAAAAAAACAATCAGAGCGGCGTAAGAATTGTTGAACTCAGTCCGCCACCAGCACCATTTCCAAAATAGCGGCGACTGAGCAAGAATTGACTGTTCAGACTGTTGCCGAGCAAGAAATATTGACGGCTTGGATAGATAAAGAGGCGCTTGCCGAAGCGGTTTGATGCTATCCAATGTTATATGACAAAAGTATGAAGGAATTTAAAGACCAAAACAAGTGTAGCCTGCTCTATTTTTCATCTAGCCTTATATCGCTATGTCGTTGTTTACATTACCGACATAAGGCGATTCTGTCGTTACGTCGTTATGTCGCTAGTGTGAACCAGGCTTAATACAACATATTAACCAACAAACCTGTCTGTTGACTTTGGAACTGGCAACTTGGCCACAATATTACTGGCGGAGCTAAAGAAAGAAACAAACGTTACACTGGCCCGGCTTGCTTGCTTTATCAACTCTCGATATACCGTAAAATTACAAGCCCTGGGCTTATGCAACTTCATAGGGGATTTTACGTGGGTTTACAAACGGGTGGATTATATATTGGGGAAGGGGCACTTATATACGGAAGGACTTATTTGTTCGGTCGTATAGGCGAATCTTTGCTGACGTCATTGTTTACATTTTTCCTCATTAGCATACGACTTGACTCATAGAAGCCGTGGCCGTATATATGAACTAAATGCAAAAGTTGAAAAAGTTGATTAAGTTGAGAAATGTGTGCAATTTTCAGCTCTTTGCAAGCAATATTGAAGGAAATATCAGCTATCAAAAATTGCGAAATTGCTGTGTGGCAAAAAAGTTAATGAGCCATACATTTCTCTGTAAAATGTCGAGATTTTAGAGGACAATTCCTCCGAAACCATTCCGTGTATCGGGCTCAAATTTTCAGAGATAACTGAAACTGTTATGCCCTTTCAATAGTCAGAGCTTTTCTTTTATTAGCGTCATCAGATAGCGATAAGCATATGCTAATAAGGAAAAAAGTGTAAACAAAGATTCGCCTATACGAGAATCGGTTTGATCACAGCTGCATTGTAAAGTAACACCCCAGTCAATGTCTTTAGAGAGCTCCGTTAGTCAAATTACCTCGATGAAGGAACATTGCATCTTAACTTGAGCACAACTTCAAGAATCCTAACAATTCAAAAACAGGTTAAATGTTAACCCAAACGTTTTGATCGATTTTCGGGTCGATGCCTACCTTCTGGGCTTTGCTGAGGAAAACACAAACACTATTTTCACACCTTGGGCTTCATTTGCATGTTAAACAGAAAAATAAATATTGCACATAGTATGTTACATTTTAGACCAATCAAATGCAGAATTAGGCTCACGTGACTTTTCCCGCGCTCTTCACGGACTGTTTGGGCGCTTTCCATTTGACCAGCCATTCGACCAAAACCCGTTTCGAAATTTTCGGAATTTTTGTTGGAATGGAAAGCGCCCTTTGTTTTGGTGATTCCTGATTGGCCTATTACACTTAATGCAGCAAAAGCGATTGGCTAAAAAAAATCGCTGTGAGATAAAAGCGTGATTTATTCTAACTTTTAACGGCGTCTGGGGCAGCATTCCCCGACTACGCCAGAGGAATTTGAAAAAGTAGCTTTATTTCTACGGTTAGGCCTCCCGTACAAACTAATCCGTCACGAAAACGGAGCTTTTCGAAAACGCTCTTCAAACCGGAGGAATTTGAAAACGACGGCTTTTCGTTTTCGCGTGGACGAAAAACATTTTAAAAACGGAACTTTTCAAAAGCAATGGCGTCACGATTATCATGTGATTTCAAACACAAATCCAAAATGACCGGAAAACATTTGACGGGTTTTCAGCGTGAAACCCTGACGGGGCCCGGGTGAGGTGAGGGCGGGGGTACTTCCAGAAAAGTTGGGTGGGAGTGTGCGGAAACACTTATCCTATTTATGACCAAAGTCTGCGAGTTTTTGCTACTCTATTTATGATCTGGCCGAAAAACTCGATACCCTATTTATGACCGCTGTGGCTGGCACAGTTGCCCTAAACATATGTTATGAAGGGCTTTTGTTGATGGTCCTATTGATAACGATGAAAAAGTAGCTTCTTCTAAGAAACATATCCAATTCAAGACTAGAGTGCCAAAACCATACCCTATCTAAGACCAAAATGGCCAAAATCGATACCCTATTTTTGACCAAACAGCTGAAAACCCTACCCTTTGGGGCCGCACATACCTATATAGCCCATATATTGGAGTAACCCCCGGGAGTGAAACTTCCGTTTTCAAATTCCTCCAGCGTAATGTGGACGGGCACCACGGGGAGCGGGAAAGTAGAGAAACGTAGAGGTTTTGTTTCTTCAGGTATCTACAAAAGCAACGATAAAAGAACACTCACTTCGAGTCTTCACTTTCATCAACAAATGCTATCAACGTGAAGGGCAGGGTTGATTGCAGGGCTTCTGTAACATGGTATTTCATGACAATAAACTGTGCGGAGAAGAAAACACTTGCCTGTAAGATTTAACTAAAACAAGCGTACTTTTACTAGTGTATGCAATCAACTACTTTTATATCAACAACAAAATAAAGTACAAAATTACATTGCGATGGATAGAAAACAAAGAGAAAGTATTACTGCGAGCAAACGTAAGTAAGTTATGTATGGAAAAATCTAAATGAAATATTGAGAAAAAAAAAAAGAAAAAAAGAAGCAAACCTTGAAACAAAAAGATGACAGTACAGTTGAACCCCGCTATTTCCAACTCTCAGGGGAAACGAAAAATAGTTCCAAATAGCGGAATTTTGACATAGCCGGATTTTGACATAGCCGATAGTAAATAACTGAAGGGCAAATCAAAGGGAGAAGCTTTTGAGTTCAAAACAACGGGAAATTCGAAATAACCGAGTTTACATTAGCGTCCAACTGTATCACAATTTAAAGAAATTATACTTCTAAGTTTAGAACCTCTCCTTCCGGTGGACTGACAACAAGTGTTTGTGTGGATTCAAAGCTTGATACGTCAACAGACTCGTGGAATGTACAGTCATCAAGTCGTACAGCTGCACTGTCAACTGTGAAGAAAACATGAATTGTATGCTGAGTAGACTATGAGTAGTCCCTCTTTTGCTTAGTCCATCGAGCGTGACCATGAATAAACCTCGAGGAAAAAATGGCCGCATGAAATCTTTGAGGCAACAACAACAACAACAACAACAACAATAACTTTATTAATGTGTCAAATACATTCTAGCCGAGGATAAAAACCCTCTACTAATAGGGGACACATAAAATAAATAAAATAAATTATAAAATTCAAAAGCCTAAATTTGATATTTAGAATAAAAAGAGACTAAAATTTAACTACATTATTTACAGTAATTCCAACAATTCTAAAATAATTCATTCGTATGTAGATCATGTGCTACATAAAACACAGTTCTTGCATTCATGTTCAATTTTCTGTGAAAGATTAGTTAAAGTGATCTGTCTTTTAAAAGATTGTAGAGACGGTAAGATTTTTAAGTTAGTTGAGAGTAGATTCCACAGCATAGGTCCAATATATCTTAGCGAGTGTTTCCCATACAAGAAGAGCACACTTCTCATCCCCAGGATCTAGTTTAGGTTACAACCACATGACACTTTGAGTGATATTTAGATTTTTCAAGGAGCTGGTCAGTTTACCTCGTGACACAACATCGGATTTTCCAACAAAGAAATCTTCATTGAGCGCAATCTTAACTTCAGGATAACCAGCAACAAAGTTTCTCATTTGAATGCAGCCATCAATTTCACTCCTTAAAATGTTTCCCTTCAAAAAAGAAAATTTGATTAATAGTCTAGGTGAAAGAATAACTTGTATGATGATCTTAGTTTAGTGAAATTAAAAATTGTGAGGATCCACTACGGTTGCTCGACCATGTGAAAGAAGTCTACTAGTCAATATATACCATGATGTTTTAAGAACAATAAAACAATAAAGTGAACAGGAACATAAGGTCTGATTGCTTACTAATTATACTCCAAGCAGTTACCAGTATAGCAATAAAAATGCCAATATTTATATTTTAAAGGAAAGAGGTTTTACAACTATATAGAAATCACTATTTAGTACTTCGCTTGTATTTAGTAAGAAATCAAGTAAAGGAAGTCATCTCAGTGAGAGCAGTTTTCAACTGTCTTAAAGCCAAGACCAATTACTCACTCTTGCCAATCACAAATCAAACACTCAGACAATCCAATGAACCAATCAAAACTCAAAGGAAATGCAGGTGGCCAATGCAAAATGCGGGAATAAGTGGAAGCTGGTCACAGTCCTCCATAGGAAAAAAGATGGTGACTGGTACATTTACTCATAGTTCTTAGTGAGTGAAACCCTTAACAACGTTTATAAAAACCCACAGAAGAGTTACAAAATCTTCAAACCTAGCATACACAATGTCCTTTGTACAGGGACAAATATTGTAAAACTCTGACTTTCTTTGTGCTTCACAGGCTGTGTTAGGTTTGCAAGGTATTGTGGTAAAATGTGCAGCCGCCTTCTTTTTTCCTACAGTGGATTGAGTTTGGTTCTACTTCTGATTGAATGACAAAGTGGCGCGGTTTTTTTTAAGCCAATAGCTTAGCGTTATGATGCCAAGCCAAGTGTGAATAATTCATTCAAGTGACAACTGCTCTATCAAACAATCTGTAAATTTATAAATTAAAGGAGGAAAGTTTTTAAATACTATACAGTGTATTAAAAGACCATGCACAATAAAGAATAAATGTCTCATAATTAAGAGCACAGTAACTGTCCAGCCTCACACAATAATTACTACTCTATTTGCTTAGTAATACATGTTGCACGTCTAATAATTACCCTTATTAGGATGGTAATTTGGTTGTAAATGAGTTACTTACATTTGTACCAATCAGCACTGTAAGTCTCTCTAGTAAATCCAGAAATACCTCGCGCTTGTTCCCTCTCTAGATACAAAAACATACATGTATATGTAAGAAAATTAATGCCTGTAGAAGATGTGACAATTTGTAACTACAGTCCAACCTCTCCACAGCTTATCCTATGTGCTGGATTTGAAAAGAAAATTTGGCATGTATTTCTATTTGTTTTGAAAATCTTGAACTTGGGTACTTATATGAGTTACAGGATTAAACGATCTTGCAACACCTTGGCATGCTAACCTGTCCCATCTTTGGAAGCACCACAGGTTTATTTGCAGCAGTGCTTGGCAAGGACATTTTTTCTGTGCCATACTATAAAATAATAACAAGACAGAAAAATTAAATTCATCATGGAGATGCACATACATCTACATTGAACATTTCTTATTGTAATTGCGACCGAGAACGGAAGGGTGATGGGCACTGGGCTAGCAAGATGCCGTAAAACTGCAAAAAGATAAAGATACTGTAACCATAAGAGAATCAAGTGACAAAGATGTGAGGAGAGACCAATGCCATTCCACAAGGCAGCCAAACACACTTGGGTGCTGACATTAAAACAACAGGCCCAGTTGTTTGAAAGGTGGATAATGCTATCCACTGAATAAATCACTATCCAGCGGATAGCGCGGTTTGATTTGTTACCACTTATCCACTGATACTGGATAGCAATTCATCCGGTGGATAATGTTTTTCAACCTTCGAACAACTGGGGCCAGGTCCTCCCAAGCCAAGATTACAGTCAACTGGACACTCTTTTACCATTAACTTTGCAGTTTTCCTGAAACTGCTACCAAAATGAGGCATTTAGTTACTGTAATTACTACTAAAATATAGTTACTACATATATAAATGAAAACATATCAATAAAAAAGAAACTTAACAGAAACAGTTTTCTACTACTAATATTTACTACCAAAATACACTGTATGTAGTACATACCACTATTCGCCCAGTGCATTGCCATAATGGTTCCTCAGCTGTGGTCACCACCTCTGGCTGGTTACAAACATATGCTTTGAGGTTTTCTGTTGATGTGACCTGCACATAACCAAAATCCTGCAAAGAAACCAGCCAAACAAGATGATGACTTCTACGACGGCCATCTAGTCGGGCCACTAGATCAGTATCCAAAATCTAATTACTTTTCTCTTTAAGAAATAGAAAACACGTACCGTGTTTCTATCGAGTTTTAGCATAAATCTACTAGCGTTCTATCACAAATGCTGTTCTCTGATTGGCTACACTACTCACTATCAATTTAAGTGACGGCTGCTTCTCCAAGGCATTTTTGAAATGTCTGTGAAGAGGATTTAGATAAAGTTTTGAACGACTAGTAGATTTATACTAAAAAAAAAATAGATTATTCGCTCTCAATTTCTATGCGTGATAGTTTACAGGGGTGCAGCACGAGTCAACTATCAAATCATAGAAATCTCAAGCTCATAATCTAATTGTTTAATACAGACATGATTTTAAACCAATCAGTGCCCATATTTTTTTTGGGCTATTTTCTAAATGATGAATATTTTGCATTATACTTAAGATAGCCTGGGTATGGCAAAAAATAATCGGAAACTTTGTAAATCCCTATCAATGACATTGGGTGTCAGATTGATTTCTGGGACTCTGTCCTTGACTTATGAGCCTAAGAACTGCAGAGACCCAAACAACAAACCTAGCTAAGACACTGCGATTGTGCTAAAAGTGATCAGAGACCAGATGAGATCCAGATCTTACTGGGGTAAAAGCTGCAAAGTGACTGCTGTCTCGGATTACATGTTTGGAAGTAGTTTCTTAAATTAGCTCAGTTAATTTAAGGGTGCCTGTACTTAAAGATCAACAAAATGCAGCTTACCAACACTTCATCTAGCAACTCATAAATAAGGGGAAAGTTAGACTTGATTGATTCCTCATCAAGAACACCACAGTAATCCTTACATAGATCTGAAACTCTAGGAATAATTTTGTTCAAAATATATTAGAAACAGAAGATTTTTGAAACATTGATCCTTTAAGGTTACTGATCATCTGACGCAATTTTTTTTTTTTGCTCCAAAAAGTGGAGAAATTTACCTGAGATTTTTCAACCCTAACCCCAATCTTTGAAGTACAAGTCATGTGGATTGTGCATAAAATTATCTAAATCTACATTTTGACAAATCAATTTTACTAAAATAGACTTTTTCTTTTTCTGATGGAATCTAGTTGACAGAATTGGATTAGCCTGCATAGCAGACGTTTTCAAAAAAGCACACAAAGTGAATAATGAAACTGCGAATAAAAAGTTATGACAAATTTTTAGAAATCTTTAAGTGACTGGTTAATTATGAGAGCCTCAAATGTAATTTATTTATCAAAATTAAAACTGTACCTTGTCAACACTTCCACTGCAAAAGCTGGTGAAATATTGAACTTTGTCGTACAAACAAAGTAAAGCCCATTTCTTTTGATGAATATGAAATTGATACCATCAACATTCTGTATAGAAAGAAGTTGATTTTGTTATTTTTCCTATTGTAAACAGATCTATAGTTTGAAACAGTAGCTCATTGCCTAGACTTTCTAAAAGTCCTTTCCAATAATTCTTCCCTGGCCTGTTGGTTTCACTGTTGGAAAGGACTTTTCCCACTTGCAGCGGGCCAAATTTTACTGGTGGATTTTTCCACCGGTGACGTAAATACACATTAACCAATGAACAAACAGGTACTGACTATACGTCATGACGTCGCACGCCATCAACGACACAACTCGCAGAGCAATTCAAGTACTATAAAAATCTCTTTCATTTCACTTTTGTTCTCAGATATACTTAAGGATATGAATTTTATGGAAGCAATTGAATATGGTCTATCCAACTTAATTTCAAGTCTTTGAAAGAAGGACAGGGAAAAGCCGTGGAAGGCTATTTATCCAACCAACACGTGTTTGTTTACTTAATACGGGCGCGATCTGAGCTCCTGTGTGATCCAGAGAATTAAGTTCGGTCCTTTCGATGGAGAACAGAACCGTTCCTGCACTTTTAGTTGAGTTAGTGAATGACCAAGTTTCTTCTCCACAAAGAAAGGGCATCGCAGAAAATTTGCATCAGCCATTTTGCCAACTTTACCGTGTTGAAAGCAGTCATCAATCGATGAAGGACTTTTGGGAACAGCGCTTTTATTCTCTGGCATTCGCTGCAACTTCAATTCCCAACGTTATTTAATATAATCAAGAGAGCTTTACAGAATTAAAGTTCTCCCTGACTAATTCTGTCTTCTTTAGTTTGTTCGGATTCTTGTCGATACAAGCTACATCAACATAAGTTTATAGCATTTGTCAGGCAGCCCTCTGGTCGATCGCTGGATAATCTGGACTAAAACAAATAATTCCTGGTCAGTTTAAAGATGGTTTTGTCTTTTCAGGAGGCATTACTCAGTGGAACAGCTCTTGCCATTAGTCAATATTGCTGACCACACTGTACTGCACTGTACACAAATAAACTCATTTGAGTCTGGGAACAGTACTCGTAAACATTTTGATGGCAATCATTTTATGTTTTCGCAACGATCGCGCATGCGGAGCACGTGAAAAGTGCGAAATGTTGATCATGTTTTTCGTGCCAAAAAATTACGCTCTGATTCACATTCCTGCGAGTGGAACAAGTTGACCTCTTGCGACTTATGTCACTCGCGTTCCCCCTTGCAACTTTGTCGCTCACAGATTACTCTCTCACTTCGCCCGAGGGAGATAAATAAGTCAAGGATTAAGAAAAGGTCGACTTGTGGCAACTCTACTCATTGCCCTGTTTGAACTAATTATTGGGTTGATCCAGAAAATATCCATACCGAGTGACATCTCCCACAGAGGGTTTTGGGTTTGACCATGCACCCCCCACCCCTCCCCCATCCCTCTGGAAATTCAAGTAAATGCTTGTCTTTTATAACCCCCTCCCCCTTGAAATTTCCAATAACCCTCCTCTGGTGGGTATGGTTATTTTCTGGAACAACACATTTTCAGTCAAGCAATAAATCCTTGTTTGATGCTCAAGTAGTGTCAAGTATAGTTTGGGGAATGAAATGGTAGTAGGTTTGCAATGGCCCATTGAAACATCAACTGTTGAACACTGAAATATAGTGGAATCCCAATTTTTCGAACCTCCAAGGGAAACGAAAATAATTTCCGTTTCCCTTGGAGATTCGAAAAATGGGCATTTGGGTCGCAAAATTGAGTAGTTTGAGAAATCGGGGGTAAACTTACCGTGTTCGACTGAGGAGGGGAAACAACTTTTGTTTTGAGTTATCAAGTTAAAAAAACTGTGGGTTTGAGAAATCAGGATTCCACTGTAATACCATGCATGTCTCTGTATGAAATTGGCTACAGTCACATGACAGTTTGGCTGTGCACCCATGACAAAGTCTATTTCAGTCTTCTCAAGCCATGATGACAACTGAACTATCCCATAGTCTCTCACTGCCTGTAGATTACATTATTGTGGATTTTAAACATGAAATAAATTCATTATAAGTTTACTGTCATCGGTTTATAATAAGAGCCTTAAAACACTTACAAATATGGGAGGGATACTTTCTTTGTCAGCCTTAATTTTCCGATAAAAGATATCTGGAGTCGCTTTCATACCATCTCCTCTATCTTGAAAATGAATCAAGGTAAAACAATAAACAAATCATTCAGAGGCAATCTGAGTCAGAAGCTTGAGCTCAAGGGTGAAGTTTTTCCTTCGGAACAGAAAATGAAATAAATACTAACTTTTACAGAGTGTTTGACAAAGGATCGGAGGCAGTTGGTTGAAATTAAATAGGTTTTCTAAAGAGCTCTAGTATCTAGTATAGTCACTTCCTAACGGAAGCGTTAAAAGAAAGGATACAATCTCGAAATATCAGTGTATCTCCTCGAGACGACAAAACAAAGAAATGGGACAACATGGCCGAATGTTCTTCCAAGGATAACCGCTTACCAAAGAAACAAACTGACCGAAGACTCAAGGCACTTATAAATCGGGTATTTTTCTGTCATTTCTGGAACATTCTCGTAATAAAATTGACTGTTTATTCTTGACATTTATTCTGAGCGTTCTGATATGACAAAAAGGGTTTTTGCCGTTGTTTGGTGAAAAAATTAGGCAAATTTCGTTGCTATTTGTACAAAGTAAAATCACTGAGATCTCGCCCTAGCGCGCATGCGTGGTAGCACAGCGTGGGGTAACGTCTGCCACCATTTTCCAACGGCTGCACGTGTGGAAAGGTTTTTTGAGAGTTTTGTCTGCAGTTTTAGCTCTAATTTTCTCACCAAACAGCTTGCAGCATGAGTGATCTTGACGAGGCAGCTGTTAAGAAGCTCAAAGTAACTGAATTAAGAGCAGAGCTACAAGCTCGAGGCCTAGACTCGAAGGGAAACAAGCCCGTTCTTGTTGAACGATTGCTTGAAGCGATTTCCAAAGTCGGCGAGGAAAATGGCGAGGAAGCTATGGAAGAAAGCGCAGCTGAAACGCAAGCAGAGGTCACAGAAGAGAAAGAAGAAACTGCTGCTGAGCAAAATAAAGAAGAGGATGTAGAAGGAGAAGAAGCGAAAGCAGAGGAAACGGCGCCAGAGGCCGACGAAGCGAAGGATCCCGAACACAGTGAACCGGTCGCTGTCCCAACAGAAGAGACGCCTTCTGTGGAAGTATCTCAAGAGACCACTGAAGCTTCTGAAACGGCTCCGAAAGAAGAAAGCGCGACAGAAAAGCAGGAAAATGTATCACAAGCAGAGGAAGCCATGGAAACTAACGTCGATGCTGCATCAACTTCGCAAACAGCGGAAGGTTAGTAAATTTTACTCGTGTATTAAATTTGTTATTTACATAAGCTTTGTTTATCTGTTCTTTTCAAATATTGGAAAATTTAAATCGATCGGTTCTTAGTTACCGCTATATCCTTAGTTTGCCCTTGAAAGTGAAGTTCTTTTTACTAACTTGCATAATATTTTTGTGTCAAGTCAAGTCTAATGTGAACTTTATGTCTTGTTTTCTCTAAGTGAACGAGGCTCTTGACAGCTAATTTAACTCTATGTTTAACTGAATTATTTATTAATCGACAACGTAAGGTTAACATATGAATAATAATTTAAACTTCTTACTCGAAAAATTGAATTATCGGGAGCCAAGTGTTCCTGCTTCCATTGAAAATGGTCGGAAATATCGAAATACTTTATACATCGCCTCTGTTTAGTGGAGAATGAAACTAAACACCTCGTTTTTGCGAGAAATTATGCCTTGTGTAAGATGTGAGCAGTGCTATGCAGCTGTACCACAAATGCAGATCAGATGGTTGTGTCGACCTACGGTACATGACTTGTAAAAGTCAACCCACCTTTGAAAAATGAATAACATTTCTTGTAGAAGAGTGAGAGTGCTCTGACTGCTCAGCAGTTTAATTTGCTTCAGTTTCATTGAACATACGGGACTGAAACTAACGTAGAGTTCAGTTTTGATGTGTAACATCACCCCAAGGTGGCCATTGCAATGATGGAAAGTGTGGAAAGTTATAATGTGAATCTTTTCGCAACATGTGTGACAATCAATGCACTTGCGACATTTTTGATCACAGACCCGGGAGTCGTTTTGTCAGTTATAAATTTTGTCCACATATTATGTGTTGCCAGAGGCGGATGACCTCAACACGGCAGCTTCTGATCCTGAAGAAAATTTGTTGCTAGATACATGTATGTCATTGACCAAGTCAAGTGACACACTCTTAAATGTAGAGTGATAAATTAGGGACTGTGCCTACTAAATACAAAGATTTTTTGCCTGAAATTAGGCTATAGCACTATGTTATGATAGGGTAGCAGTTTTCTTAGTGCCAAAATATGCGGTGTGGCGGCAAGCTTTATGGCATTCAGACAATTTAGGAGAATTTAGAAATTTGAAAGTAACGCTAATAAAAATTCTATATCAAGTGACAAGAAGACTTCACTTACAAAAACAAACAAATGTATCAGGATTTCGAGACTTCCTAAGCCCTGCAAATATTGGGAGTCTGAGACAGCTTTGTGAAAAAAACAAGACTGCAAGTTGTACAGAACCCCTAAAAGATAAGACCTCAAAGCCTGTGAAATTTGACTAACATTTTGCAAGACCCTGGCAGAGTTTTTGAAGGACGATTCACCATTCCTTGGTTTTAGTGCATATCCCATTTGGTGAGGGTAGGAAAATTTTGCTTTCATTTTAGTCATACACTTGGTAGCATACTTGATTTCATCAGTTTCATCCTAACATCCTCACAAGCACGTGGCAGGTAACCATGTCTCGCGCCTGAAAGAATGTGTGCACTGCAACAAAAGTCAGCACCATCCTTAACCGCGATGGCAAATTTGTATCGTGGAAGTTCCCAGTTTTAGCATTTGGTACATGTGTGTTTCCCTGATGGATACCATAAATCTGATGGGAAAGCTGCTCAATTTGGATTTTGTGAAGTATATATGAAATAATTCATATTTGAACTGCGGTAGTAGATGAAAGTGAAGTATGATCATCGCAGTAAATTTTCCAATTTAAGCAACTG